GCCTCACCAACCAGCAGCAGCGAATGCATTATGAGTAGATTAGTAGTGTATATTTCTGAGCCTACACGTCAGGCGGCAATGACAGTGATGCAATATCCGATACAACAATAAGAATTGACCAGCTATAGGGGCTCAATCCTGGCAGCCACTAGAACCAAAACAAGCGAAAAACCGCCAACTCCAAACCACCAACCCAATCCACCAATTTTCATCCGTATGACCTTTGTGTGTGCATTTGGCTCAGCCTCGACATGTTACTGGATTGTGGGCCTTTACTCTGACGAAAACTGAATTTCCATCAGGTGCAGGACTACGTACATCAGTTTGGAATATTAAGATTGGACCTCAGGTCCATGTTGTTGGCTTCTTGGGTTGCGGTAATGGTTGATAAGTTGATCGAATACATTTGGTCGCCCTGAGATTCATCACCTCAACACGGCGATAAGGTGTTTTTCAGCTGAAGCTCCCTCGATCTACATTGACGCCATGAAAAAGGCTCATTGAAGCAGATCAGTGGAAACCTCTTTGCACTGGGAAGCTTGTGTTCAATGTCATGCAAACAACACATTTATCCAATTTTGGGATTTCATTCCACCCCCCAGGTCGCAAGCTTTGAATGCGGCATGGAACAACAAGATCGGCCCTCATTTCTATTCTGGTTTCTAGAGCTGAGGCAATGGTTGGTAGGGAAAATTGAGCCACCTAAGATTCACCGCCTCACCACGGCTCGGGTTGAAGTTGGTGAAGGCTGCCTTCTCTTTGTGTGCGTGGCAGGGCTTCGATAACGGTGGGCCACATGAGAACAGGAGCGGATCCGAAGGACTGGAAACACGTGGAAGCTCTGTTGGACATGCGAACGGTGAAATCGAGCATCATTTTTGCCATCTTGGCTGGTGACAAGGCGAAGGCAAAGGAGAAGGAGGTCGAAATGAAAGGGAGAAGAAGAGCAAGAAGGACTCTGCAGATCGGGAATGTATGATGGGAAGGTAAAGGGATAGGAATTTAAAGGGTCAGTGATGAAAGGTTCTCCGGGGATTTCATTCCTAGACACTGGCTGGTTAGTCTTCATTTTGCTGGGATTCCATTCCTAAGTACATTCCTAATGACTTAGAGTGATGTTTACTCACAGGCCGCCAAATGTATTTTGGTAGTAGGCGGTTGCCACTAAACGAGTGTGGGTTTGCCAACCAGATTCAACAGCTGGCGGCGATGTCCAGAAGGCAAAGGAGAAGGAACTCTTTGACTAGAAGAAGAAGAAGAAGAAGAAAAAGAAAAAGAATGAACCTGTGGATTGGCTGCAATGGGTCTTTTGTATGCTTTTGTAGGGTAAGTGCTATTCCATGCTATTCCAACATGTTCCAATGCCATCCAAAGCCTCCGCTCAAACTGTAGACGTAGGCACAGCAAAGGAGAAGACCATTCGAACTGTAGAGAAGGTAAGGGGGTTCCATCCTTTCTATGTGCATGTTCATGCTGAGAAATGATTGTGTGTTCTCTGTCAGGACTCCATTTGTATCTGTGTCGCATTTCCCAACTGCACTAAAAAGGTAATTTAAAAAGCATGTATGTCCCACTAGGAGGTAGCAGATTCCAAGGATGGCGACCTCCTTGAGAAGCATCAGGTGGAAGATGCTGAGATTTGCTGATTTTTTGTAGGGCAAGTGCTGTGGTTGATAGCTTCTCAGTAGACGATTCCAACTGTAGTCACAAACAAAGCAAGCACCTTTCCTGTTCTTGTAGGGTTCTCACTTCCTCTCCCCTGTAATTCTTCACGCATGTAGTGGCCACTCAAAGAGTGTCGTTTGTCGTCAAAAGCTTGTGACAACTCCACGATGACGACACCGACAACTTAGAGACAAAGAAGGACCGGTAGGGGCGAAATATTTGAGCGCATAGTCTCAAAACATGAATCGTCAACACAGCGTCACCTTCTTTTGCAAGAGTGCATTCCTGGGACAGCTTGCTTCATTGGGACACCCCATCTGTACGCTGTCTGTACGCGCTGCTCCGAGAGCAGGCTCTTGTGACGCACCCCCCGCCGCTTGGGGCAGAGGACAATAGACAAATTGAGAACGTCAGCACCCGATTGGCCATTCCGGGCAAAGGGGGGCTGACAACGTTGGATTTGATCCCATTTGGACCTCAAAAATGGCCAAAAAGATGAAGCGAGCCAGAAAACCCAATGTTACGGTCACCGTACCAAAGGCGACACGGTTCTTACTTGTACACAAGAAAATCATGTGTCCATAATATGTAGATCATGAACCGCCTGCCATGATGACTGGTTGCTTGGCTCGCTCTCCACTATCAGCCACTCATGTGCGACCGGTGGCAGACGAAAGCAAAGCGAGCACCTCTTTGTGAGAGTCGGCCTTCTTCTTCTTCATCACCACCTCCTGTGCTGTCTTTCCAGCAGAGTTCTTTTGTGCGGGGTTGGCTCCTTGCTCCAGAAGCCCTCCCACAATCTTGGCATTGCCAGCTTCAGCGGCTTTGTGCAAGGGGTAGGTGCTGCTGAAGAGGGACTTCTTGGGATTGTTCACTCCAGTGAAGCCTTGCTTCTTGAGCCATGCCATCACTTCGTTCTTGCGTGCAGCTGCCTCAGCTGCCTGTTCCACCTCTTCCGCACGCTTCCTCTCAGATTCCGCGGCGGCAGCGGCAGCAGCTTCGGCGGCAGCGGCAGCTTCCTTGGCCGCCTGAGCCGCCTTCTCCTCCGCCTGACGTTGGAGCTCCCCCTCCTTCCTGCGCTCTTCAGCTTCCTTCTCTCGACGAGCTGCCTCCTCCTTCTTCAAAGCTTCTGCCTTGCTGCGAGCCGCTTCCTCTTCAAGTCTCTTCTTGGCTTCGGCGGAAGCCGCCCCGGCTTCCTCTGCGCGTTTGGAGAGGTCATCCAGGTTCACCTTCACAGTGTTGGCCGAAGGGTTTGGAGGGTTGCAGGCAGATGTGCAGCTGAAGTCAAACATGATTGACAGAAAGCCGGCAAAGCTGTCCTTCGGGTTCTTTCACGTGAATGGCTTGAGCACAAGACTTAGCCGAAATGCAGGAAGGATCAAGAAGGAGGAAAAGACAAAAACTCAAGTCCAACGCATAAGGCTCGAGTCCTCTGTGCATGTTTGTCACACGAACATCTTGAGACAAGAGAATCGCAAGCACTTAAGTGGAATTGATCCGGCAAAGGACGTTGATCACTACCAGGTCTGAGATCCCCGAAGTGCTTCCCAAAACGCACAAAAAGCGCTGACGGCTGACTTGTTGGGAGTTGAAGAGTGCTGCAAGACCACCTGAATAAGAACACGACGCCACACGCATCCATACGAGATAGACTGCTAAAACATGACAATATAAGAACACACTACAAAATGCAAAAACAATGTCCTGATGTTTTCTGCAAACTATAGTCGCCACACATAGTTCTATTATGTTCTATTCTGCTTATCAATCCATATCATCAAGTGTTTGGGGTGCTACTAAACGAGTGTGCGCATTCCATAAGGACATAAAGGGTGGCGAACTCTCTGTGGAGGAAGAGAAAAGTACCCTTTTGCTCGGTTTTTCTTGCGCCATTTGTATCCATGTGTTGGGTAATTGTCGTTAGATGCTAGCCAGAACGCCTTTTTAAGTTGTAGCCGCTGGGTGTCGGCATGTATTGATGTCCTTTCTCTCAACTGAAAAAAAGACGTGCAGGAATAGGCCGGACTATATAGCTTGCTACTAAATGAGTGCATGTGTACGACTACGAGGCCTATACCCAGATACAGTACGTTATAGATGAAATTTCCTGTACAGAGAGGGTCCCTCCAGGCTCCTGTATAAAGCGGTGCCTGAACAGAATTCCTCAAAGGGGGGTAGGTCATGCACAAAAAACAAACACAACTGATACTGATGCAAATTCTGTTCGGCCATTTCTCTGTTGGAAAACTCGCGCAGCCTTGGGGAAGCGGTTTGTGGCTCAAACCGGATGATCAAAGAAAACCCGTAAAATTGTTAGGGTATCATAAGAAGGAAAAAATCTAGAAGCATTTGTCCGTGTTCTTTTCTACCCGGAGCTGGAAAACGATTCGTGAAGATCACTTCCATGAAGTAAACATTTTAGATCCTTCCACCCCCATCAACACCGATAGCAGGAGAGTCGCAATCACGGCCGGCGGCAAAGGGCATTAGGTCTGCCTTTTCAATCAACTGCAAATTGTTGGCTTGGGTTGGTGGTTTGGACTTGGTGGAAAATGCTACCTATTTGGAAAAGTATCTTAAAAAATTGGACTTGGAGAAAACTGATGCTATCTATTTGGAAAAGGTATCTTCAAAAAATTTGGACTTGGGGAAAATGTATGCTAGCTATCTATTTGGAAAGGTATCTTCAAAACATTTGGACTTGGGGAAAATGTATGCTATCTATTTGGAAAGGTATCTTCAAAAAATAATGGACTTGATTGGGGGGAATGCTACCCATTCATAAAGATATTTGCAAAAAATGAGCTTCGACTTGTGGGAATAAAATGCTGTCTTGGAAAGGTATCTCCAAAAAAGAGCCTGGACTTGGGGTATCTTCAAAAGAGATATACTAACATATGTTAACAGCAAAGCCTTCAAAGCAGCAGTTGAACCAGGTGCTCACTCCAAGACTCTGTGCAGCAGACTGGCCATGATCTTCAAAAAGCCTAACCCTTGTTCTTTTACTTCAATCAAATGATGCGTATTCTCACTCTCACCCTCTCTCTCTCTCTCTCCCTCTCTCCCTCCCTCCCTCCCTCTCTCCCTCTCTCCCTCTCTCCCTCTCTCCCTCCCTCCCTCTCTCCCTCTCTCCCTCTCTCCCTCTCTCCCTGTCTCTCTCTCTCTCTCTCTCTTTGTCTTTCTCTTTCTCTTTCTCTCTCTCTCTCTCTGATTCTCTCTCTCTCTCTCTCTGATTCTCTCTCTCTCTCTTTGTTCCTCTCTCTCTCTGTCTCTCTTTGTTTCTTTGTTTCACTCTCTCTCTCTCTCTGTTCCTCTCTCTCTCTCTCTCTTTGCTTCTCTCTTTCTCTCTTTGTTTCTCTCTCTCTTTGTTTCTCTTCTCTTCTCTTCTCTTCTCTTCGTACAGCTTAATTTTTTTTTGGTCGTTTGGAATCGGTGAGGACACAGCTTTCAGGGTGAAGGTGAAATCGCTTTGGTGTTGAACTGCTGGACTCATGCTGGATTCAGGCGTTTTCGGTTTGATGCTGTTCCATCTCTAAATAGTCTCCCACAAATCCAAAGCGCCGACTTTTCGGCTGAAATTCACCGATTCAGCGCGGAGCGAGTTTTGAAAAGCGACTTCCTCCAAGAGCTTTTTCATGCGCAGT